GGCAGGCAGGAGCTGGTGACCTTGGGCCCAGGCTCCCCCCAGCCCCTCTCCGGCCGCGCCTGGGTCTGCCTCCCATCTCCTGGGACACCCACGGCCTGCCCCGCGGGTGCGCCTGGAGCTAGCCCTCTCCTCCAGCTTAGCCCTCTTCTGCTGCTGGGGCCCACGTCTGCCCCGTTTTCATTTGGGTGCAGGGACTTGGAGCTCTGGTGCAGCTGGCAGAGCTGCTCTGCACACGCTCTCCTGCGGCTGCCAGGAGCCAAACCTTCCCTCCAGGGCAGCCCGCCTGTCCGGTCCTTCCCTCTCAGACCGGGCTGAGAACACCGGGGTTCTCTGTCCCTAGGTTGGGGGCAGGTCCTGGGCATCCTTGGCGGTAGAGGGACCCCAGGCCCTGACAGTCTCAGGGTGGGACTGCAGGAGTGGGAGCCTCAGTCGGGGGCCCTGGCATCTCCCCAAGGCTCTCAGACCCTGTGCCCGCCGGGGGCTTGAGGACAGCTGGACTGACCTCCTCTGCATCCAGGGCCCCACTTGCTCTGGCTGGGACTCTTCTTGCTGCAGCAGCAACTCACCCCCAGCCCAGGGGCCACCCACCAGCCCAGTGGTGCCTGCTGGGCTGCTTGGTGACCTGGGGTCCACGGCCTGCCCTGCCGGAGAGCTCGGTGAGCCCCCAGGGGGTCCTGACTGGGCACACAACACGTCTGACAGCACGCCTCTAGCCTGTGACCTTGGGCCCCAACCCTGAGGGCAGAGGACTGCGTGGTCAGTGCAGGGAAGCGCTCAGAGCTCTGGGATCAACAGCCCTGGAAGCCCACCCACTGCTGAGATCTGGGATTGCCCCTTCCACAGCTTTCAGCAGCCAGGAAGAGAGGGAGATGCCCTCAGCCTCCCCCTCTCTCGCTCCCCCCCCCTTTCAGCTGAGCTGGGAGGAAGGCCCAGGAGCTGGCCGTGGGCTCTGCAGGGCCGGCCCCTCTGCTCCTCTCAGGTGCAGTGAGAGGCCAGGTCCTCCTCCACTGCCTGGAGCACCTCCATCTCTGGGACCTTCCGCAGAAGTCCTGAGCTCCCAGGGAGGCCTCTGTTCGAGCCTTTGGCCTTGCTCGGGTGGGCCCCCCAGGCAGAGACCTCTTCGCCATCCCGGAGAGGACCACAGGAGGGAGCCAGGACCAGGATGGGTGATGGGGTGCAGAAGGACAGGAGCAGGAACATGGAGTTCCTCCCTCTAAGCGACACCCCAGGGGGCTTCCCAAGGCCTCTCAGGTGCGCCAGGCAGGCCTTACTGGCAGTCTCTCATCCCCGGCACCCACCACGGCAGGGTCTACAGTCCCTATGAACAGAGGAGCCATGGAGGGTGACAGGAACCCTAAGACCCACCAGTGCGTAGAGCTGCGGGGCTCTGGCTGCCCCCAGCACCCACAGCTCCATCCTCCCACCCTCAGCCTCCTGGACACCTGGGTGGGCATGGCAGCAGCCCCAAGCCTCAAGCCTGTGAGCAGATACCAGGGTGGCAGTTGGGCACAGGCCTGGGGACCCAGGAGGTCTGTGCTTGCGCGGTGTCCTGTGCTCAGCTCTGAGCAGTTCATTGGTCTGACCGCGACACTGGCTGTGTGGCTGGTGCTACTGGTTCAAACTCCAGCTCTGCGTCTCCCCACCCAGACCAGGCCTCTGGTCTGCCCTCCTGCTCTGAGCAGAGGGCACAGGACCCAGCAGTCCCACCTGCCTGAGGGCAGGGCTACCCGAGGACTCAGCAGGGACTGCTCCCTAGGCTGTAAGGATAATGGGTGTCTGGGGTTCCCTGTCATACTGGGGTCTGCTCATCGCTGGACCGCCGGTTGCCACCACCACCCTGGAGGCCGCCAGCCTGGAGCCAGGCCTGGCCCAAGGGGCTCCTGCATGGGCACTACCTGTCAGATTAGCTTCCCAGGGTAGGGGGGCAAGGGGCTGTGGTCCACTCTGCTGAGGCAGGGCCCGGGCCTTCCCCACGGTCTTGGGCATGGGAGGCACAAGGAGGCTGCCACTCCGGTCGGTCTGGGGCGAGGGGGGGCCAAGGGGCCCTGCCACTCCGGTCCGGAAACCATGTGGACAGCCCTGAGCAGGGGCGGGAGGGGGCAGCTGGGGCCACGCTGGAAGATGCCTGGCACTCCAGCGCCTCTTGCCCTGCATGTCCCCTGGCCCCAGCGGCTCCGGCCGCCCGTGGCCGGCAGGCCCCAGCGGGCCA